ATTGTGTGATCATACATGATTTAATTTCCCTAAGCCTATTTCCTTACCAGTGAAATGAGAAAAATTAATACAGTGCCTAAATTGTTATAGGGAGCCAATGAGGTACATATTTGTAAAAATTGGTGTGTACCTAGCCTTAGTAGAGGCTTAGTGTGTTGTTGTTATTCCCTTTGTTATGTTTTATAATGGTTTCTAGAAATAGAATGGGCAGGAGTAAACAACGTTATAAACTACATCCTAAGAAAAAAAGGTAGGAACTGATGAGAGGATTTTTAATGACCCATTGTATTAAAAGTGCCAGCAAAGTAAACTTTCCCCATACTTGGCCCTAGAGACTCTCATTTCACTTCAAGTTAACTTAGCCTCCAACATGGTGGAGTGAAGTAATCACTCTCTAATGATGCATGCTTTTCTCAAAAGAATAAGAATATGAATTCTCATTGAGCTAGCTAAAAATGGAATTAATCAATTAATTAATCAGTCAAATAACTCTGTTCCCACAACTCTGAGGCTAGTGGAACATCAGAAGATAGATTTGAGTTCTTTTTTTCATCTCTATCAAGTCACCTAAGGTCTCTGAGCATCCATTTTTTTAAACCATAAAATGGAGTCAACACTCTCCTTTGTAGGGTTGGTGTAAGAATCCAGTCAATGAAAGCTCTTAGTAAACACTAAATCACTTTAGAAATGTGACATTATTTCTTGGTTTAAAAATCATCGTTTATTGTTCATTATCTCAGTTCAAATCACACCTTGCATCTACTTGATAGTATTTTGGCCAGTACTTATAAAACTCTGGAGTCAGACACTGAGAGTGGCAGTAATAAGCAAATAATTGTATGATTTAGATTGAGAATATCCTACTTTATAATCTCTCAGCTCTTGTGCTCAGCAACTTCTAAGCTTAAAATTCACATCTTAGATGTTTATAAAATATTGAACCTTGAGGTAGCCATCATATTCTGTAAACATTTTTTAAACCAATGGTGAATATATGAAGACAATCAAATTTGTTGCAAAACTTCCCTGAACCCAGCTAATATGGCACATCAAGATGGATTTCATAGTTATACATCTACAGAGGAATGTTTAGAGATAAGATGAAAGTAGTCCTCCTTATTAATCACACGTTGTATATTTGACTTCTGCCTCCCTCCTCAGCCTTTAAATCAACTACATCTGGTTTTTGCTAGTTAAGTGTGCCATTACCTTTTGCATTAAAAGGCAGTTACTCCTAAACAATGCAGCCCCATTTGATTAAAAAACAATTAACTAGAGTTATATTCATTTTACTCATCATGGCAGCTCAAATAAGAATTTTAGTATAGCTTATAGACCTACTTTATTTCTACAACACGGTCAGCAGAATTGGAAGGCTCTTTGTGATGAATGCTGGCATAAAGCAGTTATTTTGCTTTGCTGATGATAACTTTTACAGGAAAAAAACAATAATACAGAATAGATAGATAAATAGATAGGATCTAACATAGGTAGGATCACAAAGCAGCTGAATTTTGATGTAGTCACCCTATGCCAGAGATGTCCTCTTCTATGGAGACTAGGGCACATGATTATTATTACACACAGAGCAAGTTAAGTTCTAGGAACTGACTCCTACTAACCAACTGCATAAGAAATTGATGTATAATTATTAAGCAGGTGGTATTGGAGCTCGCTAATTAGTGAATTCTTTCTCAGGAGAGAAATCTACCAAGCAACCAAGTTGTTATTTGAAATTCATTGGTAAGCAGGGAATCTGACATATCAGAATAAATTGTCTAAATTAGTGGTACTCAAAGAAATTGCTATTTTGCTAACAAGGTAAGAAGTTAGCACCGGACTATAAATTAAACCGTTAGAGCATCACTTTCTTCATTGAGAGAGTCTTGCTCCAAATTTTGTATAAGCAAACTAAATAATATGCTTAATGACACTAATTTGCATTCCAGCACAAGTTCTTCATCTTATGGCAAACTGCTCACAAACATTTTTTATACAAGCAATTATTCTGTGTTCCACAACTTGAGAAGCCCTGGTCTTTGCCTGAATCAGAATTACAATGGGAAGCTTATTAAAATATGTAGTTTCCTAGTGATGTACCCTTGAAAATTCTGATTCAGAGTTCTGGTGTGTTGTATCTCCATCTGTGTTTTAAAAATACCGCCCCATGTAGTTTTTGGATGAACACATAAGATGTAGGAGCTGCATAATAAAATGTGTAGAGTAATTAAGTGGTGTTAAGCTGAATAAGTTAGAGGTTAAAGACATGAGATGGCACTGAGGTTTAAGTTCTTATTTCTTCTTCAGCAAGATGTGAATTTTCTAAACCTCAACAGCTTTACCTATAAAGTGCTATAATAATACCTACCTCATAAAGTTGAGAGGTTTAAATGTTGTTATATATAAAAAAAAGTGCTTTACTCAGTGCCTGCCACATAGTAGACAATTGATAAATGTCAGATGTAAATGACAGTTATCATCTCCATGATAGAGACTTACCTGCCATTTTTGAAAATATGCACATTTATTATATACAGCCCCAAATTCCCTGGACAAGCAAAGAGCATACTGCCAATATTTGCCTGTCTGAGATTTCCTTTGCTAAACATGCATCAAAATAACTATCAAGGCTCTTTTGATTCTAAGTGTTAGAAACCTAAATCAAAGTGATGGAAGAAATAAAAAGTTAGCTGCTCAAGGGGAGATTATTAAATCACACACTTTACAACTGAATATCCAAGGGTGGTTCTGGCTAAGACCATGACTGGATTGAGGTCTTCTAAGGATATTCTTCATCTATATCACCTGCTTGCCTGCCTGCCTGCGTGTGTGTGTGTGTGTGTGTGTGTGTGTGTGTGTGTGTGTCTGTCTGTATATCATCTATCTCCCTCTCTATCATCTATCTATGTATCTATCTATGTATCTATATCTATCTCCCTCTCTATCTATCTATCTATCTATCTATCTATCTATCTATCTATCTATCTATCTATCTATCATCTATCATCTATCATCTATCTACCTATTTATCGAGTTGCCCTCAATCTTAGGCTGGACCTGGTTTTGTGATGCAATGTGAGGCTTATATGTTACCAGCCTAATAACCACAGAGGAAAAAAAAGTTCTTTTGTGAAATAGTCCAACAAAATTCCAGAACCGAGACTCAATGCCCTTGCTTACAATATCTTTCTATTATTGAACTATTCACTCTAAATAAAGGCAGAACAGTTTGGTTTTCAGGCTCAAACATATAGCCACTCCTGAATCTAAGGTGAGACAACTTCACTTGAAGCATTTGTTCTTAAGGCGAAAAAGATAATTTCCACAACAAAAGTTAAGGGATGTTATTAGGAAAAGAGAAAACATATAGATGCAGAATCCAAAAGAATAATGTTTGATACTCTGACCTACCCGCCTTTACTCTTCCATTGTTGTTTAAATGTGTTAGTTCAACTGGAATAAAGCCAAGACTTGGTTTAGAGACCTTAATATTTTGTTAAGATAATGTCCAGATATTTATTCTAATCTACTTTGTATTCGTTTTATAATAATTTTTTGTAGATTGAATTGTTTCCCCTACTTCCAATTTGGGAATAAAAGATACAGGAGAGTTGCCTTATATTGACCTAGAACAAAGTCAGAATTTATTAATAACAACCTGAGTTTGGTTCTAACCTTTCATTTTCTCTAGCTTGAGTCAGATTCATGTTTGATAAATAGAAATAAACAAGAGATGGTGCTAGAAAGTAAACTGCCAGAGTTTCACAAAGGGGAGTTTAGTTTTCGACTACATTTGTTACATGACAATAATGTTACTATGGATTATAAAATAATGGATGTATTATGGTTCACTAAATCAGTAAAAATCACGAATCCCTTAATGATTTAGAACGCAGCTTGTGAAGCATGACTTGGCAGAGCTATTAAGTGGTTAAGAGTGTTGGTATGAAAGTTAGGTCTTCGGCACTCAGATCCAAGTCTGGCTGTCTTTGTGGTGTGTGGCCTTGGACCTGACTTCTCTGGGACGCAGTTTCCTCACATGTGTAATTAGGTAATAAAATGTAGTCACCACACAGTGGCGGGGGAGAATTAAATGCACTGACAGGGTGGTGCAGGCTTCTTCTGTATTTTTCAAGCAGTGCATATGCTTAACTTTATTCTCCCAGATGCCTAACAGACTCTCTCATAGGAAGTCACTTAGGAGTTCTTCTTGGCCCCCTTTGTATACCATTTATTTTATAACCATAGTATTTTCTAAGATGGCACTATAAATAGGACCAAATGCTACCCAAGGCAAAATGGGCAAATGTCACGTTACTGGCAAACTTTCAGTTCCTTTTTTTTTTTTTTTGAGCTTGCAATGAGAATGGTTTTAGCTAGCTTTGAGCCTCTGCAGCCCATTTTGTATGCTGTTGCCTGTACTTTAATGTTCCCTTAAAGGCTTGTATTTTGGGCATCTGCCTTCCTCTCACTCCTCGTCACATTCCCCTAACTCAGCATGGTCTTTATTTTTCATTACAGAGGTGGAAGCAGGAGGCTGAATTTCTCTGAGATGATTGTTCAATATGGTGTACTGGGAAGACCAGAGAGCCAAGATTTAGATTTAAATTATGACACTAACGCTGCTGCATTTTTGTTGGGTGACCTTGGGCTCATCATTGACCTTCTCTGATTCTATATCCTCAGCTATACAATAAAAAGAACAGTGAAGCCATCTGTGCCTAACTCTCACATCTTTGCTATGAGGGTTAAATGAGATGATGTCGAAAACGAGAAAGTGCGATCCAAGAACAAACTTTTATTATGCTTGTGATGATTCCATATATATATCAGTATATTAACAGTTTGTTAGCAACTGGATTCCTGCATGCTCTGCTCCCATTTCCCTAATTCCCAGAGCTGCAGAGGATCCCTGCCAGATGGCTGATTTGCCAGCTGTGTCTCGTTTTGTCATTGTAAATATTACATACTCCAACCGAGAGGCTTTGCTTATAACGTAGTATGTTTGTTCTTTATCTCTTGCAGATTGAGAATTACATTGTGGAAAATATGAAGTCGGAGATGGCCCAGATACAGCAGAATGCAGTTCAGAACCACACGGCCACCATGCTCGAGATAGGAACCAGCCTCCTCTCTCAGACTGCAGAGCAGACCAGAAAGCTGACGGATGTTGAGACCCAGGTACGCCCCTAGGCCAGAGTCAAGAAACTCTTAACTGGGAGGACATTTTTTCTCCTTTAGCTTACTTCATAAACACAGAGCACATTTCAGCACTGAGATGGGGAAACATATACATTTTTGTTTATTGGTAATGAAAACAATGACTGCCTGACATGCTATGCATGTTTCTTTTGATTAAATGAGGGTTGGTATATTTAGCTTTGTACGTGTTTGCAAAAACAGGACTGGCAAAGGACTTAATCAGCATTTAAATTAAAATAAACACTGCAGCTACCAACTGTGAGATGATATGTGTCAAACAAAATAACCATTTTGGTCAAATTAGTGCCTTTGATGTACATTTTTGACTTGTCCTGTTTGTCTCTGATAGTATTCTAGCCATAATGGCACCTGCAGTGGTTTTGCTCATTCAGTGTATAGGAGGGAATACCCCAAATGAACTACTCAGGAATGTGTGGGTTTTTTTTTTTTTATTCAGCATGATTTTATAATGAGGAGTCAATTAATACTCTTTCTCCATACATATATGTATATGTGCATGAATATATATATATATATATTATCCTATATATAACACATATATATTACCCTACCATTGACAATGACATACTTACATACAAACATATGTATTTGTGTACAAATCAGTAAAATGACCTTTAATCATCATTGTCACTAACCTACCATTACAGTTTAGTGAAAATATCATTTTTGATGACTAGAAGATGATCTCTCGGTATGCTTTGAATCATCAAAATAGTTATTTCAATTACCATTCTGAAACCCAGTGTAGTTCATTTCTGGAATCAAAGTTGAAATAATACTGTTAAAAGATAAATGAAACACAATGAAATTTTCAAGAGTTTATTTGAGCAAACATCATTTGGAATTGGGCAATGCCTAACTCAAAGTGGTCAGGAGCTAAGGGAAAGGTTTTAATAGAGAAGATGCAGAAGCAAAGCACAGAAGTTATTTGATTGGCTAGAGCTTAAGCAGTTGCCTTGTTCGGGAGAGCCTCGTTGGCTGTTTGTAATTGGTTGTTGGTTGTTCTTAGGTTTCATTTTCTTGGATTCAAGTGCCGAGACTCGGGCTTAGGTTTTGGTTTGCTTACGCATGCTACCAAAGCATTAGAGCCTCCTCAGTCTAATGGCCTTCTCCTTTAGTTATTTTAACAATATAAATTTTAAAATAAGATGCAACTTTATTTCTATTTTGTTTCTTTTGTGTTAATGGAATTACAGATCATATGTTGATATTTAAAGAGAAATAATAATTTATACAGATAGAGCATTTTGTATTATTCAAACCACTTTCCCATGTGCAGGTGATTTTTATGAAATCATTTAGAGCAGGCAGGTCAGAAAGTGTGAGCGATTTTCTCACATTGATATAGCTAGTGAATCAAATCTTTGGTTCCAGCTGAGGCATACTCATTTTTTTTTCTTTCGTCTCCCTTGATTAGTAATACTAATAATTAACTTATTAACTAATTTAATGAGAACTTAAGTATGGATTATACTGGATCGATAAATCACATAGGCTTTGGAACTTATTTTTTGTAATTTTAATGATAGCACACAATTATCAGATAACCATGGGTGGTGGGGAAGGGAAACTACTTATTACAACTAAAATCTATGAGACTTAATATAATTATATAAAGATGCTGCTGCCCCTCCATTGCTGCTGACGGTATTTTACCACATGACCGCACATCATATCGTGTAATCCTAGGATCCAGGGTTGTCCTTGCTGGCTATGTAACTATAGGGAAGTTCCTTCCAATTTCCAATGATTTATGTGGGAACCATGGTGTTAGAAATGAAATTTAATCAAATTTACTGATGTATTTTGAGTACCTCCTTGATGAAAGATATTTTAATAGGTACTATATAGAATACAGCAGTAAGTAAAGCAGGCCTTATCCTCAGTGAGCTTAATTGAGTTAATGTGGCAAATGTTTCTAAACCATTTCTTTCTGTGGGGAGTGTAATTGACCAATGGCCCCAGCTGCTGTGCTCTGAAATCCATCACAATATTGGTACAGAGACCACAATTTCCAGTGATCACTTCCAGCCAATGACACATTGTGGCAGTAATGCTTAGTCAGATCTACCGCTGGGAGCTGCAGGGCTCCACTGACACATGACTTTGTCTAAGGACTCTCCATCAGCCTTGCCAAACTTTCTCGCAACTGCACTACAGATTAAGATTTCCACTCAGTCTTCCTTTTCTTTCTTCTCTGCTGTGGTTAGACCTAAATCCCGGTCAAAAGGCACTCCTAGCCAACTCTGGCTTCTTCCCCATTTTCCTTCACAGGAATTTCCATTTTCTGCATGTCTAATCTCATTTTGTTATTTGCTCCTCAGAAGTCATGACCACCTGCTGTTTGGATTTCAATTGCCCAATTACAAATTTAAGGCAGTTCAGGACAGTTTAACTGATGAGTTTAAATCTCTAGGCAGAAATAGATTTGAAATGGCAACTTTCAAAATTGAGCCACTGGATCTCTTTAATTTGATGAGAGATTAGTTGACTAAACATTTAATCTTGGCCTAACTGAAATGGCAGTAAACTAAATCTACCGATGGTCATCCAAGGAAAATACCCTGGTAATTAATTTTCTCACAGGGTCTGGAAAAAATGTTTGATAACTCATAAGGAGAGGGCTCAGTGAACTATGACCCACAGGCCACATTTGAAATGCCACCTCTTTTTGTAAATAAAGTTTTATTAAACACAGCTACACTCATTCATTTATATGTTGTATATGGCTGCTTTCTCGATATAACTGCAGAGTTGAATAGTTGTACCAGATTCCTTCTGGGCCTCCAAGACTAACATATTTACTCTTTGGCCCTTTACAGAAAAAGCTGGCCAACCCATGCATTAGGATACAAACTCCTAGAGAGCATGAATTTTGTCTGTCTTGTTCACTTTTCTATTCTTAGGTTTAGAACAGTACTTGGTACACAGTAGACTCTCAATAAATACTTGTCTAATAATTAAATTAACAAATATTAGTCTCTTCATTTCTGTAGTTTTCGGTGCAATGCTCCTAAGCCCAAAGGCAATGTCCTAAGAGTTGTGTGTTGCTGGTAATACATACTCACAGATAGATAGTGGGTCAGTGTAGGACTTTGAACAGAAGCAGTCTCCTGCAAAGGCGTTCTGACTGACTAAGAACATTGGATAAATGTATTTTCTCTGTCCTCTGAGGAGTGTGAGCAATTTGTCCACCTTTCTGCCTGGTAAGTGCTAGTTTAGTATTGGGGTGTGGAGAGGGAAGAAGTCAGATGCCATCAACTGCAGAAGATCTCATGGTAATTTGAGAGAAACCATTTTGAGATCAGCTGTTATTGACTGAAGGGAGGTGCCTTTCTCAGCCAGAGGGAAGCTACTTGTGTATAGCTACATGATCCTGTGCGAAGGGACTCAGACTCCCAACATAGATTACCTAGGTTCCATTCTGACCTTACTGCGTGTCTACTCTGCTGGGCAAGTTTCTTTTATCCACAATTTCTGCATCTGTAATATAAGTAATATTCTACTAAATTCCATAACCCAATGGGGTTATCATTATGTTATATATGTTTATCATATATTTGAATATTTATATCATATCATATAAATAAAAAATAAAATATTACATGGAATAATTATATAGCTTTAATTATATATTATATTTTCATGGCTAAAATTAACAATAATTCTCTAAGATTATCTAATCTTCATATTCAAATTCCCTCAGTTCTATCAAAAATTTTATAGGCATTTTATTTTTCAAGATTTGATAGTTCCTTTTATTTGGACGCAATCTTCCTTTTTGTTCCTTGAGATTTTTAAGAAACCGGGTCAATTGTTATTTAAATTGTCCCATATTCTGACTTTGTCTGAATATTTTTTATGATAGTTTTTAACTTATTCTTCATCTCTCATGGTTTCTTTAAGCTGGAAAGTAAGTCTAAAAGTTCAATTAGATTGAGTTGAACATTGTGGCGGAGTGCTCTGCAGAATTGCTGGCCAATTTCTATTATATTTCATCAGCAGGCACAAATGCCATCTTGCAACACTCTCAGCAATGCTATTTTAACTTGATTAGAGTAGAAGCCTCCATAGCTCTTTATCTCAATCGTCTATTTTCTCCTTGGAAATTAACAAATAACCTATGGGGTGGTACTTTATCACATTGCCATATCATTGACCAAATAAATCATTTCATTGATTTTATAAAATGGTGACCTTCTAACACATTCCTTGTACACATATCAGATTTTATTCTAAAAAAGTCTAAGTATCAAGTCATCATATTTTCTGTTATATTTTTTATTCGAAAAACACAAAGTAAAAAGAAACATAAACCTACCAACAAGGCTGATTTCAAAGTTAATATGCTGGTGAAAGAAATTTTCTGTTATGGGAGATTTTCCTTTTAAGGAAGATCGGAGGCACTTTTAAAAGTATTAAAGGGAAGCTAGCTGAAATTCTCTAGCTCACTTTCTTTGAGATACTAGAAGTTTTTATTTTTAAATTTTTGTTTATTTTTTAAAGAATAAAGCTAAAGTTTGTAATCTATAAATTCTCAATTTCAAATCTTGTGTCTTCCTTACTTTGTAGTATATTCTGGAAAATTTAAGCTTGAAATTTTTTTTGGGGGGGGGGCTTGTTTTACATACTCTTCGCTGTTCTTTTCTTTCTTTCTTTAATCTTTTTCTTTCCTGCAGAGATGTGCTTTTGGAATGTGTTTAGGCTAAAGAAGGAAATGTCTTTTGTCATTTTAATGGAACACTTAGATTATTGCTAAGCAGCAAGTTCCATAGACACATGGCAAGAAAATGGTCAATTTATCATAGTTTCCTGTACAATTCTCTCAATTGCCTGCTTTTGAACTTTGGGCCTATTTTAATACATCAGTGGAGAGAGTTGAAATAAAGCAGCCATTAGGTTGAGGTGATGGGGAAAGAAGAGAAGAGATTGGGATTTGTGCTAAAAACTGACCTGAG